CAAGCCTGTTATGTCTAGGCTGTTTTTCCCCTTCCAGTTAAATACATTTTTCCATTAGGTGCACATATCGGGAAGCAGGATGCTGAAGTGCAAAGAGCTTTGGATTTAGGTGGAAGGCTGTAGACTTGGATTTGGATCCTGTGTCTGTCCTTTGCTTATTACCGACTGACCTTGAGCGAGTTATGTAATCTGTGCTCAGGCTGGGCTCAAACTCCTGAGCTCACGTGATCCACCTGGCTCTGCCTCCCAGGGTGCTAGGTTTACAGGCATGAGCCGCTGTGCCTGGCCTAGCTTCATCTTATTGCTGTGTACCACGTGGACATAAGTCATGCTTTTTGAATGAATGAATGCTCCAGAGAAGTCATGTTTACTGATTAGACTAGGTGGTATCTGAGTTTTGCCAGGTTTAGGATCCTGGGGTCCTGGGAGAGTCATGGCAGTCAGACATTTAGAGAATAGACAGGACTCAGTGGCCTAGCACACAATGCTATCTCATGTCCAGGAGGCGTTGTGGCAAAGAGCAGCAGTTCTGGGCGACACTGAAGCCAGGTGGGAAGATCCTGAGAATCCCGAGTGCCTTCCCTGTGGATCTCACAGACAGTGGGCGTGTAGGGATGTACCGTGCAGACCGCGGCCGTGTAGAGAGCGAACCTGCTGTCTTCATCAATGCTTTTGCATCTCGCGCTTATTAAAAATTGCCAATCAAACCAGCATTTTGCTGACAGTGTTCATGCACTGTGACCGTGACTGCAGTTGTTCTTGGGGAGTGGCCTGTTGGTCTTTGTGGTGACGGCTGCTGAACCAGTTCCCTGTGTTGTCCTGTAGGGTCATGGTGGCGTTTTGATATTCAGGTCAGTCCCTTTTCCTTCTTTCTGGAGGATGGGCTTTGGAGTTGGGAGGGGGAAGCTCAGGGTTGAAAATGAGAAAACATGTATGAGATATTCATTTGGCATTCTTCTCTAAGGCTTCATTTCTAAAGTCTTTCCGGGCAGGGAATAGGGTACGTAGATATATGTAGTGATTTGAGATCCACATTTTATGGATGAAGAAACTGGTTCAGAGAAGGAAAGTGACTTGTCTGGGGTCACATGGTGAGCTGGTTGCAGAGTCAGCCCTGTAAGTTTTGTGGCAGGATTTAAATTGCACCCTCGCTCCTGGGGAGAGAGTGCAATGTGCCAGGCTCTAGAGTCAAAGGCTTGAGCATGGCCACAGGTACAGCCGCTTACCATGAAATGCGTAAAATGGGCATCATGGTCCTATCTGATGTTAAGCATTTAAAAAAGCTTTGTCTAAAGACTGAAATAAAAAAGAAAACTACATATTGAAACACCTACAATCTAATACTTTTTTTTTTTTTTTTTTACATGAGGCCTTTTTATTGTACATACATACTATGCATAACCATCCCAAGGAATTTAGTAGTGAGCATCAATCTAATACTTTTTAAAAGCAGCTTAGATCTTTTGCTATGTGGCGTTGGATGATGCCTATTTGAGATAAAACTTTGCTGGCATGCAGACAAAATAACCCTCGATAAAAAGGTTACTTTTTTATGTGATTATCAAATTTCAAAATAAAACAAAATTTGTTAATAAAAAAAGCTTTGTCAAACTACAAAGAATTACAGAAGTGTATCTTATGACGGAGTCAGTGGGACTATTTACAGAGAGAGGGTGGGTCAGTGAAGGGATCATTGATTACACCCCAGTCCCAACACTTCCAAGAAGTTCACTTCCTCACTGTGCAGTGAAGAGATTCTGCACTCAGATTTGGGGGCTTGGCACTGGGGAAAAGCTTGAGCCCAATCTGGGATTTGTATGGAATGGGGGGTATGCTTTTGCCTGGAGCCAGAGTCTAATTATATCATGTAGCACTATATTGGGAGATATGGCTGGAAAGACGGGTTTAGGCCCATCCTGGAGGCCGGAAGGTGGACATTATTTTTTTGTGGTTCAGAGCCCTGGTGATGGGGCAGCTGGGAAAATCCTGATGAAATGTACCTTTGGGATGTGCGGGGAACCTGTTGCAATAACTCAGGTGAGCCCCAGGGAATCTTGCAGTTGGGGCAGAATCCTCAACACAGGGTGATTCTCAAGTTTTGGGTAAATTCTAAGTTATTTTTTGGTAGTGGGTCAACTTTTTACTGGAGGTTGTAACAGAAATGATAATGTTTTGTATAGGTGTTATAAAGTTCTCAAGAGTTTTTACCCCCATTGACTCCTTTGTTCTGTACAATAAAGGTAGGAGGTGGGATTGTTCTTACCCCTGTTTTGCAGGCAAAGAAACTGGGACTCAAAAAGCAGGTGGGATTTCTTAGGCCACTCTGTGGGTGGCTGTGGAAGCCACAGAGGGAATGCTGGGTCTAACACTTACCCCTGTGGTAATGACCTAGCACAGGCGTTCTCTCAAACTCACTTTTCTTCACCCTCCACCATCTTGCTTGTTGTTCTTGCAAGTCTAAGATGGCCATGAGTTTCCAAGATTCCAGAGACAAACTGCAAGCCTTTCGAGGAGGAGCTCATCCTTGCCCCCAAACAGTGCTGCCTACTTTTCCATTTGTAGACTTAGGCATACCTACGGATAGGGTGATCATAATTCAGCACTTACTGCAGCATTCTGCTAACTAGTTTATTAAATTAGTTAATTTTCATAAAAGCCTTAGTAGGTAGAAACATAATATTATTTTCCATTTTACAGGGAGGTTTAGGGAGATTAAATAGCTTGCTTGAGAAAACACAGGCCATAAATTAATGATTAGAGTCCGGGTTTTCTGATTTGGGACCTGTTTCTTCTCTATGCCCTGTAGTGCCTGTCTCACAGATGGGAACGCAGAGCGCTGGTTAAGGAAGTGCATCTCAGAGCTTGGGTGTTACTGGAATTAGAGCTGGAGGGTGCTGAGGAGATGGGGACGCTGCTGGTTTTCAGGCTGTGCTCTTCCAAACTTGGGCGACTCCAAGAGTAGCCTTGGGGTTGGGGTGCCTAGGAAGGCGAAAGATAGGGAGAAGTAGGGGAAGGAACAAGCTAAACATCTTCAGAGCATTCATTTAAAGGAAAAGTTCTGCTGCAAAGAAGTTATAGTTTGAAAGACACCATGATAATCCCTTTGGCTAACATTGAGGGACACAGCCCACCATAAAATACAAAGTGTGAGGGGCCTGAGACCTCACAGCCTCCCAGCCCAGAGGTCCCTCAACTCTGGGGCACTTTATTAGAAACACTTTCTTTAATTCAAATCCCCTTTTAGGGGGGCATGTATTTTTCCCTTTATCAAGGTAATATTTACTCTGTCCAACCCCCTATGAGGTTTCTGGAGCACTGGCTAGAGGTTCAGGGCCAGGCAGCCACTGAGCACCTACAGGGCCTTCACGCCACTTCCTACATGGAGTCCTTGATCTACATTTTTCAACCTGGCTGCTTCCATTTCTGTGCAGAAAAGAGTTGAAATTACCGCCATTGTCATGTTACCTCCCAGGCCCAACCTTCCAAGACATTCTCTAACTAAATCTCTGTAAGTATTGAGTGCCTACTGTGTGCACAGACCAAGAACAAAGGGAAGGAAGGTTCTTGATCCCAAGGGCCTGATGGAGAGACAGAAACAAATAAGGAATTTTATCAACTATTTTGGGAGATCGTTATGTTTACGACATATGATTGTCATGCCTGCTTAGTTATAGCAGAAGATTTTATCTCATAGCAATGAGACGGAAAAAATAAATCTGGGCAGTGGGAAAGAGGGGGAATTGGGGAGTTCAGATTAGATATATAATTGCAAGGGGTTGAATCCTGGCCTCCTACGTCTTGCTTTTCCTTTAAGTGTTTAACTCCTTACCTGTAATATGGGAGTGAGACTGCCTAGCTCACAGAGTTGTTGCTGGGATTAAATGAGATGATGTGCTTAGTACAACAATGTGGTAATGCTGTTAGTACAATGCCTAGCACAGAATAAACACTCATTAAATTATAGTTTGTTTTTTTGTTATTAGTATTTGGCAGTGAGGAGTTAAAGAACCTATTTTCTTAACCCCCTTGATAGTGTAATCAGAGCTTTCCTTCTCGAAAAAGAACAAAGTAAAACAAAATCAGAGCTTTGCTTCTCAACCAAAGAACAAAATAAAACAAAACCCCTCCTTTAAGAAGTAGATCCAACACCTTCTCAGACAACAATTTAGTTCCAGTCTACCTTTCTAACAGAGTTACCTCCATTTATTTCCACCCATTTGCTGGCTTCTTGCACTACTGGCCTATACTTTTTTTTTTTTTTTTTTTTTGGTTTTTTTGTTTGAGACAGAGTCTCACTATGTCACCCTGGGTAGAGTGCTGTGGTGTCACAGCCCACAGCAACCTCAAACTCCTGGGCTTAAGTGATTTTCTTGCCTTAGCCTCCCAAGTAGCTGGGACTACAGCCTCCCTCCACAATTCCAGGCTATTTTGCTGTTATTGTTGTCATTGCTGTTTAGCAGGCCCGGGCTGGGTTTGAACCCGCCAGCCCCGATGTATGTGGGTGGCGCTCTAACTACTGCACTATGGGTGCCAAGCCCTACGCATTTTGTGACTCAGCTTGACTCCTATCTTGCTGTTTCCTGGACATATCTTCTTGTGGGCGTGGCTGGGGTTCAAGTCCTTTTTGCCTGCAATGCCCTTTACTCCTTCACCTGCACCATCTGTCCCACGTTTCATACCTAGCCCCAAAGTCTACCCATGCATTGCATTGTGAGGGATCCCTGTCTGTCATTACAGTCACCTCTTTCTTGCACAAGGCCTGACATTGTCTGCATCTCACAGCCCTTTGCTGTTGTATCCCTGGAGACCCGAGCACGTACACATAGCAGGTGCTCACACAGCTATGCAATACATTCACTTAGTGCCTTTTTCAAAGCACATGATAAAATGCCAACCAGAAAACAATCACCATGGAGCTGGGTGCTCATTAGTCTTAGAAATGGATCTCTGGGCGAACTTGGCCTCCCTGTAAATGGCAGTGATGTCTTGGCTTTTTGCAGGAATTGAAGAGAATCCTGAGAGGCCTGAAGGAAGCCAGACCAGCTCCCCTTGGGGTTCCCTGTGGCCCCAGGTGATCTCCAGCAAGACCTCTAGGTATGTGAAGGAGCCTCATCTGCTGGCCCAGCGGGTGGGTCGCCACTGCCAAGGCTGCCAGAACTCCAGGCGGAGCTTCTGTGAGCTGGGCTGGGAGGTTTAATGGGCTGGAGATGTCTATCCTTTTGGTATCTGCAGGTTGAAATACCTTGTGCCCTTGATTAATTCATGCTTGGGCGCTTCCTCCCTGCTCTCTGGTAGATAGCTCCTTACTGTATGTTTATTTCCCCACGGACTTATTTCAGAAAGGCTGGAGCCTGTGTTTCTAACAGCTCCTCCAAGGAAAACATCGCAGGCCGTGTTTCCGGAACTGAGATTCACCAGGGGTCCTTCAGATGTCCATCTCTATTACCTCCTTTTGGCCCAGCATTTGCTTTTAGCTCAGAAGGGAGATTTTTGTCTTGAGCCGTCCTGTGGACAAATGTGACATGGAGTTTGAAAATCTGACAGCTGCTGCTACGCCTGGAAGTGCGCGAGTGAGCAGCATATAGACACAGCCCTGTGGAACACGGAATCATTTCCCTTTAATTCCTGCGGCCTTACTGTTTCTTTGTCTTGCGAATGACCTCACTGCTTTTTGTATTTGTAATGGAATGCACAGTCATTTACAAGTAATCACACAGTAATCCCTTACACTTTTATAATGCCTTCCCTTTTCCAGAGGGCTTTCACTCTCATTATCTCATATGATCCTTGTAACTGCTCTGAGAGGGAGGCAGAGTGGTTATTTTAATCTCTAATTTACAGGTGTAGAAACTGACGTTTAGAAAAGTTAAACAGTTAGCCAGAGGTCAAACAGCATGGAGCAGGACTGGAACTGGAATCTCAAGTAGTCTTAACTCCTAAACCAGTGCTCCTTGTACTACTTACTGGGGGTGTGACCTTGAAATATACTCAACCTCCCTGAGCCTCAGTTTTCCTGTCGCTAAATTGGGTATAACCCTACCTCTGGAAGTAGTTGTCAGAGAGAATAAATGAGACTATCTGGGAAAGCATTTAGTAAACAGGAAAGCATAACTAGTAAGGAGAGGCGTCCTACTACATGGATTTCATTGGTTTCAAACAGTGTCATCCGGACTGTGGAAGGAAATAACATTTTTCCTCTCTTTTTAAAAAGACACTGAGGTCTCCAGAATGGTGCTAGAATAGAATTGTTAGGGATCACAAGCTCCCAGCCCTGTGATTAGCAAATTGACCTTGCTGTCCTGCCTGCCACCTGCTTTGTTATTCTGAATTGTGTTGACAAGACCCTCTTTTCTTACACATCTCTCTCTCTCAGAAACAGTTTTGGGTCTTGCAGGACAGGAGAGCAGCAGAGGGACTAGGGGATGAGATTTGCATCCCTGAGCTTCCTCCTCAGATAGCAGGAACGTAGTCTGGGCAGGGGCATAGAGGTGGGTCTGTCTTCTTCAGCTAAGCTCGAGAAGCACCTCTGCCTGGTAATTTCATGAGTTCACAAGGCCAGCAGTGCATATGGTGAATGGATTGCTGAACGGTAGTAGCACACTGGAAAAAAACAAAAGAAAGGATTTCAAGTTGGCAACAAATGCATTTGGAGTCAGCACTGTGATGTGATCAAGAGAACAGTCAGAGTGACTGAGGGCGGAGACATCTCTGAGGATGGAGATCTCAGACAGCTTCATTTCTACATATAGTCAGCCCTCCGTATCTATGAGTTCTACATCCATGGATTCAGCCAACCACAACCCAAAAATATTTAAAAAAATAATAATACAACAATTAAAAAATAATACAAATAAAAAACCATACACTCGTCAGGTATGGTGACTTGCACATTTAACTCCAGCTACTCAGGAGACTGAGGTGGGAGGAGCCTGTGCATCCAGGAATTTGGGGCTGCAGTGAGCTATGATCACACCACTGCATTCCAGCCTGGGTGACACAGTGAGACCCCCATCTCTAAGAAACAAAAGCGAGAACAAAACACACAAAAAACCCCCAGTACAACCATTTGTATAGTATCTATCATATGAGGTATTATAAGTAATCTAGGGATAATTTAAAGTATATGGAAGAATGTGTTTCAGTTATATGCAAATACTACTTTGTTTTATATAAAGGACTTGGAGTATCCAGGAATTTCAGTGTCCTTGCAGGTCCCTGGAACTGGTCCCCCACAGAGACTGAGGGATGGCTATTCACATCTATCTATAAAAATTGCAAACCTATGAGACATAGTTAACACATGGTCCTAAGAAACAGGATGACGACAAGGGATTTAAAGACCAGGGAGCCAGATTTGGGCTCCATGTAAGGAAGAACTTTGGGTGCAAAGTGGAATTAGTTAGCAGCTGCAGAGATAATGATGTTTGCCTCACTGCAGACCTCAGGAATACCATGGGGAGATTGGTGACAGGGGCAGGCTTTGGGCTCAGTGGCCTTTAGGGGTTTTTCTTATCTTGAGATTCCAGAGCCAGTGGAAGGAGGAAGAGAGGCACACAAACATTAAGGGGGGCACAGGGTCCCTCTGTGTGTGTGGAAACTGATCTCCAGATGTTGTTTGGAAGATGGAGGGTACATTTAAGGTCTTTCATTTTGTTTCTCATATCTGTCTCCTGGCTCACCTTGTTTTAAGAGTTTCTAGGCCTCACCTTGTTTTAAGAGTTTCTAGGCCATCGAGAGGTAGCTCTTTTCTGTACAGTATCTTTTTCCTCTGCTGAAATGCTCCTGTTGGAGCATTGGAAGGGACGATCCTGGCAGATAAGGACCATGCTTTTTCCCTGTAACAACAGCTATGGCAATAGCCCTGTGCTGAGTTCTGGTTCTGGTATGTGGTGAAGGTTCTCTGATCCTGTTTCCTTATCTATTTTTGTAGTCACTGGTATTTGTGTTCATTTATTAAACATGCAATAAATAAGAAATGTTGGCTTGTGGCAAGCTTGTTAAAACAAAATAAGCAAAATAAATGCATAATGACTAGTTGGACAGACCAAGTAGAAGGTGTTTTCAGAGCACATAGTTGAACAATTTCTAGACATCTGCCCCATTTGTAAATGAAATCGTGGAAGCTACAGGAGGAAAATTGACTTGTCTAAAATCCTAATGAGTGACTGACTGGAGCATAGGGGGTCCCCTCTTCTCTTGAGTAGTTCTGTTTGTAGCTTGAAGACTCCCTGGGGGTGAGAACCAGGATCCTGAGTCATGCTGGAAGGCCAGGTAATGGGTGATAAATAAAATAAAATAAAAAGGCTCCTCTGACTCTCAGAAAGTGTTTGCAGCCAACAGCAGAATCTTACCACACCAGGCAGTAGAGCCACTAGGAATCCAGGGATGGTAATTGATGTCCCTTCTCTGAGCAGACCCCTCCCTCCCTCCTCACACCTCCTCTCTCTACTCCCCTAACTCAGTCCGGAGTCATTTTAGATCAGATTCATTCCTGATTGTCTTCCCTGGTCCAACTTAGCCATCACAGAACCTTAGGGTTGGAATTAATTTTACCAATTTAACCGGACAGTTCACCTCTCTTTCCGCAACAATATTCTCTCAATAGTCTGGTTTTATTCTGAATCTTCAAGCCTGGTGTCTACCCCAAGAACCCACAGAAAACTAAGTTTCTGGGAGGACTCTGAGTCCGAGAGAGTCAAGGATGGAGGCCCGAGAGGACGGGTTATTTTAGGACTCAGCCACCCGCATAGAAATCTTGAACTATATTCTTGCCAACCTTCTCAGGTACATGACTCCCAGATCCCTCCCAAATTAATAGATCTCATAGATGTAGTCCCTTTCTGGATACTCTCCTTCCTAAGGTGGAGTAGAGCCTTTCAAACCAGTCACTTCCTTATTTGGTTTGGGGAGGCTTTTCCCTGAACCAAGTCGGGGAAGGAAGGGCTGAGACTCCACCTCGGTGGGGGTTAATAGTTTACTCTGAGTGAGGAATTCTGTCTAAGTGGGGCATGTTCTTCAAGTGCCAGAGGAGAGAAGGGTGATTTTTCTGACATCCTCTGGGCTGCTTTTCCATATTTGGAAATGTTTACCCACCACACTGATCTATTGGAAGAGAAGGAGGTGACTCAGGGTTTAGGAGAAGCAGAATTTGAATTCTTGTTTCCAGAAACAAAGTCGTCCCCCTCCCCCGCCCTCACCCTTCCCCCTCCATTCCTCAGCCCCTGGAAGCTGAGGAGAGAGTGTCTCAGTTCTGCTCCCCTTGAGCTGCGGGACCACCTCTTTGCTGTGTCTTGCAGTGGACTGTGGGCCTGTGAGAGGCAGTGAGGGCCAGCGGAGGGCCAGCTGCCTGTGGGGCTGGACGTCTAGTGAGTACACCCTTTCTGCCAGGCCGGTGGCATTTCTACTCAGAGACTGGGGCTTTCGGCCTGTGGTCGGCTTGCTTGCACGGTGATAGGACATGTTGCTAGGGGTACTGGTAGCTTTAATTTGTGGGTGTGGACAGCTGCTTTCCCAGGGGAGTAGTTACAGTGAGGTTGAGAGACAAGGTCTGCCTAAGGAAAAATTCTATTTGAAGGAAAAAAAAAAGTCAGACGGATATTTCCTCCCACATGAGGCCAAGCTTGAGTTGGGTAGAAAGATAATTAGGGAATGTTGTCATATGTGTGATTGCTAAGCCAAAAGGGATGTTTGTGGACATTTGAGGAGGGGTGGTTTTCGCTTGAAAAGCAGTTGTGGTTGGACTGAGAATATGTGAAATGTTGATGTGTAAGAGTTGTGGGGCATCAGCAGTCTGGGCTAAATACCTTATGTGCAGGGTCTGGTGTGGATCTGATGCATCGTCAGAGTTGCAAGGAGTCTCAGAGATTATCTGAGTATCAGTTTCATTTCACAAAGCATAATGGCCAGTGGAGGCCCAGGGACCTCACTTTCCCTGGAGACACGTGGCCAGTTAGGTCGCGTTGGCGCCCAGATCCCCTCCCTCAGTTCATTCTTCCTCCACTAGCCGTAAGCTGCCTCCTTTCTTGCAGGTGAGAAAATTGGGAGACGCTTGAGTTCCCATACTTACCTGTCCAGTGAGTGGGAGACCAAGGGCT